AGTATAAGAAACAGAACTTAAGTTCCAAAGGTTTTGAAAACTTCCCTTAAAAAGAGTTTAAGATTGACATAACTCCAATCACATATCAAATGTAGTAATAATCACATTTAAATCATGTTGAACTGGAGATATAGCTTAGTGGTAGAGCATGTTCTTAGTACTTAGTATGCAGGAGGCTTTGGGTTCAATCCCCAGAACCAAAAATAAAGGAAACAAAAAGTATAAAAGAAAAACAAGGTGAAGGTGTCATTTTATGTAATAGCATCAAATGCACGAATAACCTTAATAATCAGAAAAAATAGTGTTTCTTTCATTCTAAGTTTCTTATAGAGATCTTTCAATCTGGATCTTTTGATCAGATTTCTTTTCTTCTTTTCATACTTAGGTGAAATTTTATGAAGATAAGGGAAAAGATATATTTAACAACATGTATCTATATTTGGCATCCTGAGTCTTTAATAGTATCAGAGCTGTGGGAGTATTTAATAGTAGCAGTTATAGTTCTTTTGGGAGGCCAATATGGTATATGAGCTGAGAATAAATTTGGAAGGACCATATGTGCTTAGAAGCTACTTAAACATTGAAGACAGTAGAACAAATACTACCAGTGACTTAACACATAGATGGACTGATCTACACACTGTTGATAAAGTGAACAAAATTTAACACATAATCTGGACTAAAATTGAATATCAGAAGTAATAACATCTTTCTTTTGGTTTAAAATACTTTTTTGTTTGTGGGTAGTCAGGGACCATTTATTCTTTTATTTGAAGAATTTCCAAAATTTTCTTTATCTGGGTATTTATTAAATTCAGGGCAGAGAGGGGCTACCACATGCATATTACTGTTTTTGGAATTACACTTTTTGGAATTTCACAAACTGAAAATCTGTTCCAAGGGAAAAGGGATGACTTAGTGTACCAATAATTTTATAGGAATTTTCTTCTGAAAATGTTGATAAATCCATTACTGCCAATTAATTACCAATTGATACTTCAATTTTCCAAAGAGAAATTAAATAAAAATTTGAGTCCTCTTACTTCAGAGTTCACTAAATGAACTTAGTAGACTCTTAATTAAAAATAATCTTTCTTTTTTCATTCATAGTTGAATGTATAGCTTGCTGAGGGCCATTACCAAGTAGGTATGACGCATCATAATCCTTGCCAGTGTACCCCATGTTAAATGGACTTGCCTTGGAAATTTGCTGCGACCTTGCTTGTGTGTTTGAGAAAGGTGACCCTGCTCAATCACCAGGGTGGATCCAGGATTAGTGTGTATTCCTGCAGGAAGTATCCCCGTCCTTGGGTTTAGGGCGTGACAATAGGAGTTTNGTGTCTGTTCTATGCCTGAGGGCCACTTTCCTGGTCACCTGGTGGATGTTAGTGGCAGGGGTACCCTGTCTCAGAGCTACCAATATGAAGTGTGTTTGATGGGCGGCTCAGGCACCAGCGAGTTCAAAGTTCCTAAGCCCATTATCCCCAATTTCCTTGCTCAAGGTGTGGAGACAGAAAGTGACGAAAATCCCAGTTTCAGGAATAATTTTGAATTCAGTTAAATATCAGGAAGGATCCACTGAGTCTGGTCTCAATTTGTACAAAGTTCTGTTTTTATTGCTTTGCCCATTTATGCCTCTCCTCTCTTCTGCTCTCCTATCTTCTCATCCCCTCCCCTCCCCAATCCTCCCTCTCCTCTTTTCTTCTTTCCTTCCTCCTCCTCCTCTTCTCTCAAGCATCTATTCCAATTCTGTGCACATTACTGATATTTCTAAATATATGGTCTTGTGGTATGATTAATGTAAATTTTCTTTGTATCCCTTTTTTAAAATTAGTCTAACAACTTAGATTTAAAGTGTGAAATAAATTTTGTATTTTTAGAAATCCTTAATTTTTAAGTTAAAGCACCTTACCCCAAACTCACATCCCCAGAAAACTCATATGCTCCTAATTTTGAAGTCCTACATTTAAAATATTTGCTATCATTACACAGGATAAAATTTTCCCATCTGGAATATTTTGGGGTTTTATATCCTCTTCCCCCAATGTAACTTTTATTTTGTGAACTTACAGTGGCTAAACCATTAATATGGGTTTATTCATAAATAAATTGCACCCTCCATGCATTTGTCTAAATATGTACTTCTTTAAAAGATTGACATGTAAAAAATATTACTCTTTAGCGAGAAGCCTAACTGTTGGATTCTACAAAATATTCACATTACAAATTATAAATTTTTGTCAAAAATCACTCAGCTGGGCAGTAACCTATTGCCAGAAAATTGTAAGCTTAATGCCAGCCTTGGTCACTTAGACCCTGCCTCAAAATAATGCAAACAATGGAGATGTAGCTAAGTTCTATAACATTGTGGGCTCAATCACCAGTAGGAAAATCACTCATATTCTAAAATAATTTAACATTTAAGTTCTACTATTTAACTAATAGTACCTATCCAGTGATTTTCAAAGGCATGCCAATTTTTCATGTTTTCTATTTAAAATAGTCTTTAAAATTCTCTGCTTATTCTAATCCCCCCTTTTAAAAACCTGTTTTAATTATTTAAAACCCTCTAACTGAGCCCTTCATCAAAATCTAAAACTATACCAGAGAATATATATTTGACCTTTATCAACTTTTAGAAAATTCACATGTAATTGGGATTTGCATTTTTCAGATTTTTTGGAGTATTTATGAAAAACCTATATTAATGGTTTAGCCACTGTAAGTTCACAAAATAAAAGCTATACTGGGGGAAGAGGATATAAAACCCCCAAATATTCCAGATGGGAAAATTTTATCCTGTGTAATGATGGCAAATATTTTAAATGTAGGACTTCAAAATTAGTTAATTAGGAAAAAACCTGATGGAGGACAAAATTGTATGCAGGTCCACTCAGTCTATTTTTTGTGCTGCCTTCTTCTATTTGGTCCCTTTAGTTCCCTAAGATTTTCAATTTTTTAAAAGTTGCTTAAATCATATTTGTAAATAGCTCCCCATTATGGCATGATGAACACAGTCATTAGACCATTTTAAGTTCTTAATAAAAATTTTGAATGATTGGAAAAGTCTTTATTTCACCTGTGATGTATTGATATTTAAATACACTAAGATACTTTAATGGACAAAAGTTCTTCTGTAATTGAATACTTTCTGATGTACAATGAATTATGTAATTTTGTATAATTGAACTTTCACTATTATTCAAACCATCTGGTTATCAGTCTTTAGTGTCCCTTTACTTCAACATATCTTTCCCTTTTTTCCTCACTGGTTAATTTGAGTCTTCTCTCCTGTTGACTGGATTAGTTAGGGAATAAATAGGGAAACTGTGTTGTTCAATTTTATAATTCATATATACTATAATTCCTAAGGATTCATCCAATTTTCTTCATTTCTCGCAGTTTAATTTCTGATCTATATGTTAAAATTAATTTAAACCAATGTTATTCAGTCTATCTTTCCATTTATATATGATTTTATGCATATTTAAATATGATTAAAATTACAATATGAATTTTGAAAGTCTCATTTTGAGATTATTGGTGACAAATAGCACTATCTTGGTTATCTGAGGAGAAGGATCACAGATTCACAGCCAACCTGAACAACTTAGTGAGATCCTGTCATAAAATAAAGTAACCAAAAAAATGTTGCTGGGGATGCAGCTCAGTGGTAGACTACCCCTGAAGTCAATCCTCAGTACCACTGCCAAAAAAAAAATCCTTATCACTTGTTGGACCTTGAGTAAGTTATCATTTCCAACCCCCAAATGATAACTGCTGTTTCAATAGCTTGCAATTATGATAAAGTAAATAGTATAAATGTTAAAGCCATAATTGCTGTTATTTTTAATGCCACCAAGAATAGAGCCAAAAGATGTGCCAGCATATGTATCCCTGATAACTGTCAAAATACAAAATAAGCTAGATTGAACACATGATATTTGCAATTTTTCATATATTGTCCTACAACTTTACAATGATTTTTGTTATTAGAATAAAATCTAAGTACACATTATTTGGCCTGCATTTACCTCCCTAGCCTCCTCTTCTCACCTACTCTTGAAAGTTCTAAGTTCTGTGTACACTATTCTTCTTTACTAGATTAGTCATGCTTTTCTAGCTCAGGAATTTCACATATTATACATTCAACCTCTGACACACCTTTTCATCCATGTTCCAAATTAAATGGTACATCTTAAGGAACATTTTCTTAACTTCTCCCCATTAAGTTAGGTCTCTTTATTGTATGTTTTCAGTGCCCTGAGTACATTTTCTATGCAACACTTCTTAGGCTGAACACCTGTAAAAGAAGGATAGAGCACGTTTCAATGTTTATGGAAAGTGAAAATATAGAAGTAATTAGGCATTTGTGGTCCTCTGATCTACCCCCTGACATGACCTATTATAATTTTTTACCACTTTGTCATTTGATAGTATTTTTCCAACTAGAAATGCAAATCTCACATTTTTATAAAAATTGGAAAATAAAATAATAGGATTTCTAATCATGTTCTCATTTAGAAAAAATTTTAAATTTGCATGTAATGATTACAGAACATGTTCACTTCTACAAAATAATGTAATTGAGGATTCTACAAGGAACAATCACTTCTTTAAGAGCTCATTTTACTTCTCTAGGTTATGTTAACTTACATGACACAAGAAACTCTTCCAGTAGCCTCTACTGAGTTTGATAAGGGCAATAAGCAATATAACAAAAAATCAAAAACAAAACCTACCTTTTGCAAGAGTTTAAACTGTGAGCGAACGCATGGTGGCGCTGCTGACTAAAAAGGTGAATTAAATCACAAGCACACAGGACTCCCAGAGCACAGCTCCGGGGCGGTAAACTAGGGTTTGTGAAATGGTGACGATTTTTTAAGCAAGCCTCGTGAAAGGATTATTTACCAGGTTGGAATTTCCAGGACTTTGCATTCCCACAGTCTTCTGAAGCTCGGCTTGGCTACATTCCTTGGAAGAATATAGCAAGAAGTGCAATGGAGGCCAGAGGGGAGAGCTTTCTTAGACAAAGGCAAGTCCTGCTTTTCTTTGTTTTTGTGTGTGGGTTTCTGGCTGGGTTCGAGTCAAGACGCTATTCAGTGGCTGAGGAAAAAGAGAGGGGCTTTTTAATAGCCAATCTAGCAAAGGATCTAGGGCTGACTGTTGAGGAACTGGTGGCAAGGGGGGCCCAAATTGTATCGAAAGGAAACAAACAGCATTTTCAGCTCAGTCATCACACCGGCGATTTGCTTCTGAAGGAAAAAATGGACAGGGAGGAGCTATGCGGCCCTACAGAGTCATGTATACTGCATTTTCAGGTATTACTGCAAAACCCTTTCCAGTTAATTACACAGGAGATTCAGATCATAGATGTAAATGATCATGCTCCAGTATTCTTTGAAAATGAAATGGAGCTGAAAATCCCAGAAAACTCTCCACCAGGAACAGTGATTCCTTTGGAATATGCTGAGGATTTGGATGTGGGAAAAAACAGTCTCCAAAACTACACAATTGTTCCCAATTCCCATTTTCACGTTCTCATGCGCAGTCGGAAGGATGGAAGGAAGTATCCAGAACTAGTACTGGACAGAGCGCTGGATCGAGAGGAGCTGCCTGAGTTCAGTTTAACACTCATAGCGCTGGATGGCGGGTTGCCACCAAGGTCTGGGACAGCCCAGATCCACATTCTGGTCTTAGACATAAATGACAATGCCCCAGAATTTGCACAGTCCCTCTATGAAGTTCAAATTCTAGAGAACATCCCTATTAACTCTGTCATTGTCACTGTTTCAGCTTCTGATTTAGATACAGGAAGTTTTGGGGCAATATCATATTCATTTTTTCATGCTTCAGAAGAAATTCTCAAAACTTTTCAACTAAATCCAATTACTGGTGATATGCAATTAGTTAAATATTTGAATTTTGAAGCAATAAATAATTATGAAGTCGACATAGAGGCCAAGGATGGTGGAGGTCTTTCAGGAAAATCTACAGTCATAATTCAGGTGGTTGATGTGAATGACAACCCACCAGAACTGACTTTGTCATCAGTTAACAGTCCTATCCCTGAGAATTCGGTAGAGACTGTGGTAGCGATTTTCAGTGTTTCTGATCTAGACTCTGGAGACAATGGAAGAGTGATGTGTTCCATCCAGAACAATCTCCCCTTCGTCCTGAAACCATCCTTAGAGAATTTTTACACCCTAGTGTCTGAAGGAACGTTGGACAGAGAAAGCAGAGCCGAATATAACATCACCATCACAGTCACCGACATGGGGACACCCAGACTGAAAACTGAGCAGAGCATAATAATCCTTATCTCTGACGTCAATGACAACGCCCCTGCCTTCTCCCAAACGTCATACACGCTGTTGGTGCACGAGAACAACCAGCCCGCCCTGCACATAGGCAGTGTCAGCGCCACAGACAGAGACTCAGGCACCAACGCCCAGATCACCTACTCGCTGCTGCCAA